TTTTTCTTATACATTTTATTGTTGGATGTAACTGGGACCTTGTGTACATAATTTCGCTCCACCACATGTACCACATGAGGTGCGAATGGCAATAAAGAAACTCTGACTCAGATGTTCCACCTCCAGCCTGTAGCTGGACTCATCGTTTGTGATGCATCCAACCACAGCTGTATCATCTGCTAACTTTACAATATGGCAGCCTGGGTGGGTAGGCGAACAGTCATATATGAGCAGAGTGAACAGAATGGGGCTCAACACACAGCCCTGAGGGGAGCCAGTGCTCAGGGTTATGGTGGAGGAGGAGAAGTTGTGGATCCTCACAGACTGTGGCCTGTTGATTAAAAAATCCAGGCCTCAAATTAAATACTATACTTCCTCTTCACCAGTGGCTCTAGCTGACAAAGAATGAGGGCTGTTAACTTTTCTCCACAGGACTTTGTTTGTACAGTTCCAGGAAGGTTTTCTTAAAAGCCCGAAAGATAAAGCAATACAAAATATTTTGCTGTTAAGGTACACGTAACTCTCACTCCAGGTGAACCTGCTCTTTAAATCTCATTTTGTGATTCCAGGAGAGCCCGGCAAACCTGGCTATGGTCAAGATGGTGTTGACGGGCAGAGGGGACCTCCGGGCGTTCCTGGACAGCCTGGTGTGCCTGGTCTTCCAGGTCCAGCTGGTCTTAATGGTTATTGTGACCCATCAGCCTGCAACCTCCAGGCAGGAGCTGTAATGGATGTGAAGGGACCCCCAGGGAACTAAGAGGTGTTCTGGCAGAGACATAAAGACTGTTCAAATGATCTCCCTGAGCACGCAGCATTTGTCACACGGTCCTCTCTGAGGCTGTCGTTGGCCTGCGTTTTGAAACATTAACCTCTTTGTGTGAGCATTTTGTGCGCACATCTCAATTAAAGGGAGTCATCATCATCTATGAGACAAAAAGACACAAAGATGTTCCTTCATCTGCTGCAAGGTTCATCATTTTCATTTTTTCATCCTATGAAAATTCACATTTTCAACATGAAATGACCAAAAATATTATTTGTTCCACTCTCCTCATATAACTGTTTTCTTTAAATGTTAATTTTTTTATATTGTTTTTATAAATAAACCTCTAAAATTCTGTGAAAGGACAGCTTAATGAACTTCCCGCTTTGAGAAGCTTTTTGTAAGTTATTGTGTATGTTGTCAGTTTCATTTCCAAACGTCTGACTGCCTCGTCAGCCCAAATAAAAAGGAACTAGGATGAAAATGTCATCGAGTCACACTGACTTTAGTACATTTTGTAAATCTGTAAAAAATGTTTGAAATGTGATGATTATATTTCATTAAAACGGAAACATCCGATGTGCGATTTGATGCTTCATTGACAACAGAGTGGAGCTGTGCAAATTTAGAAATATATTTTAGAGATTAGAACAACCTTAAATAGCTCAAGAACCACTGGATGGATTGAAAGGAAAACTTTCTGATATGAGCCAATTCAAGATGGCCGCCATCAAACTTACCAAACTCAAAAATAGACTCAGCCAATTTTATAGATGTTGAGCTAAAATTTGTTCTAGTAGTATCTGAAGGATATCTTCAACACACACAGCAAATCTTTGCTTCAAACAATTGTTTGTCAAAACTATCGGTCTGCTAGCAAAATGTCTCATGAAACACTGGGATGACTTTGATGAAACTTTCAGAAAGTCGTCACTGGAGGTACATCCACAGCTGATTAACGTTTTCATCATGATTTTCATCATGTACTCTTACTCCAAGAGTAACAGTAAAACATCTTGTGAGGTCTTGCATAAAATAGCACACAGTGTCATTTAACAGTTTCCTGATTCATGCTCAATAATCCAGGTAGAGGAGGCATTGAGCATGCACCAGGACATTTTGAACCACTTTGGCCAGCATTGTCTCAAACTAGTTTGAGAGTTTTATCACTCAGCCCTCTGTGAATAGCAAGCGGGCATCAGGGCACTAACAATCAATTGTTAGGTTGATGGCCTCCTGTTTACATGTGAACAGTTAGTTCTGGATGTCACCAACAAACTGGTTGATCCAGACTGGGTTTGTTGCAGCATCTCAGACTGAAGAAGTCATTTGGATAAATGGACGGTTTATTTTTTGCTGAGATGATTCGTCCTTCATCCAAAGGACTTCTTCAGTCTGAGGAGCCACCAAACAAACTGATTCTTTCCACAAACAGCATACTCCATAGTGGGGAAAAACAATTAGCTGGTGCTAAGATGGCCTCCAGGGTCCTTCCTTTCCCCCGTCAACTCCTCTGAGACAGTCATGCCAACGTGGTTCAAAACACCAAAGTTCATGCTCAACAATCCAGATATAAATCCAACAATGTTCAGTCAGGTCATCTGGATGTTTTTTTTTTTTTTTTGCTGAGACGTTTCGTCCTTCATCCAAAGGACTTCTTCAATCTGAGGAGCTACCAAACCATCCAGATCTAGACATCCTTTAACATCCAGATCTAATTCTTCTGTTTAAATATCATTTTGCTGTATACAACAAAGTTCAGTCAGGCCATCTGGACGGTTTCTTTTTCGTTGAGACTTTTCGTCCTTCATCCAAAGGACTTTTTCAAGCTGAGGAGCCACAAAACCATCCAGATCTAGACATCTGGGACATATTCAAAAGTCTGAAGCAGCCACAGGACTGTCAAATCAAAAATGAACTCTTCATTTAGATGTTAAAAATTTGAACAGAATTGCTGAACGCAGCAGTGAACTGTGTTCGTTGAAAAAAAAACAATCAAAGCAAAACAACAAAAAAATGTAGAAATGTTTCGTCTCTCATCCGAGAGACTTCCTCAGTCTGAGGTGCTGTATTCAGCTCAGTCTCTTCAATAGTACCTTCTCAGAACCTTCTTCTTCTTCTTCTTCTTTTGAATGTCCAGAGGACCAGATTTAACTTTTTTAGATTTTTCTACCTGGATTATTGAGCATGCATCAGGATATGTGTTCGTTGAGTTTTTGGCGGGGTTTCTGGAACTGTGCAGTCATTTCCACAACAGAATTATGACTGTATTTAGGGCTTTCTTGGCGGAACTGAAGATAATGGACACAATAACTACAGAAGCACTAAGAAAGGCGCAAAACAACAACAAAACCTAAAACTGATTATTAAACCCAAGAATATTCCATCCATCCATCCATTATCTTTACCCGCTTATTCCATTTTGGGTCACGGGGGTCGCTGGTGCCCATGTCCAGCAATCACTGTGCGAGGGGCGGGGTACACCCTGGACGGGTCGCAAGTCCATCACAGGGCCACATAGAGACAAACGAGACAAACAACCATTCACTCTCTCACTCACACCTAGGGGCAATTTAGAGTTACCAATCAGCCTAACATGCATGTTTTTGGACTGTGGGAGGAAACCGGAGTACCTGGAGAAAACCCACGCATGCACGGAGAGAACATGCAAACTCCACCCAGAAGGCCCCTGGACCGGGGAACCAAGGACCTGCTCGCTGAGAGGCAGCAGCTCTACCAGTTGCGCCACCGTGCTGTCCTCCCAAGAATATTATTATTATTTAAAAAAAAAAGAAAGAAAAAAAAACCACCAACATAAACAGGAAACTCATTGCATAAACTATATTTTTGAGGTTTGTTGTGTGTTGCGTCTCATGGCCCCTGCAGAGTTGACCAATTTTAATACAAGAACTGTACAAGAACTTAGCCGAGTTATTGGGGAAAACAAACACAAAACACAAGAAATAATTAAAGCACTTAAGAACATTTATTGCACACATAAAAGGCAGATGACTTTAACAAGTGTAAAGTAAAGAGCAGAGTTAAACACACTCCTCAAAAGGCACGTTAATGCCCCTTTTTACCCATCAGCGAGTGAGCGGGGTCACGCTGACGTCAACATCCAACCTGCACGGACGTGTTCTTGCATGAGGTTTTCTATTTTTACAAGGCAACAGTTGTTTTGACGTTTCATTTTTTCCAATTACGTAGATATGTGGTAAACAAACAAAACGAGGTAGTCATTGAGCCGAACTGAAACTTCTGAAAACAAACATTAAAGTCACTCAGCACGACCCGAGCTTCTGCAGGAGCAGAAAGCCGTTTGACTGAGATCAGCAGGCAGACATTTTTAATCTGAGGGCCCGTGCTGAGAGGCTGATCCATATTTTCCCCTCATTACAATCTTACTAACAAGGTTAGATTACGCGTGGCAACAGGATCAGCTTACATTACTGGAAAACACAAAATAATAAAAAATGTCAACATTTGAAGGTGATTGCTTTAAGTGAGTTTTGCAACAAGCTGTTCCATCTCTGCCCTTTGCTTCCACTGGACGTTTTCCGCTTAGAATAAATGAATTTTGCCCTGGTGTGATGGAAAATATTTGGCTGTGGCATTATTGTCCTTCCCTCCGCATCAAACTGTTTAGTTAAATGGAAGCGGCAAACTGGTGCGTATTAATTTCAATCCAAGCTGAATTTAATACACAGAGGGAGTTGTTCCCAGAAGCACACTGAAAAACTGTTTAGCTCACATTAATCTGCTGCTCTCGTTTAAATCTCATCAAGATCAGCGTAATTGTCTCGGTTTGGGGCCCGTAATGCTTAATATGAAAATTGCAGAGATGGGAAGACAGAATGAGTAGAAAGGAGGGAATTTTATATAGCCAATAAAACCAAAGAATGATTATTTTCCTTTAAAAGAAATAAGTTCAAAACATGTCCAGCAGGGGGCAACTTTAAACCACAAATGAAACTGGCGACATGGATTTTATTCTAAAATTAGATCCTCTTGCCTTTATAAAAAAATAAAGCAGATAAGGAAAAAAAAAAACTACCAACAAGCTGGCACGCTCAAAAATATGTTCTGCAGCATCCCAGTCGTATGTAATTTGAAATTCATTGTATAAGAAAAAGCACGATGACGATGATGCGAGGGGAAAGATTTCATAAGATGAAAGACACACACAACGAATGTGGTTTAAAAAAAAGAAAATCAAACCCACTGACAGAACATTTTAAACATTAATCACAGCAGGACTAAAAACAAATAAATTAAAACATTTGAGTTAAACAGAGCTGAAAATAAAAGCTTAAGATTTATGTACATTTACTACAAGTCAGTGATTATTGTCGCCTACATTATATAGCAGGGCTATTCAACTGGTGGCCCAGGGGCCAAATCAGGCCCACGGATGAACTTAGTTCGGCCCACCAATGGGTTCATTTAGATTTTAAACCATAAAACAAACTTACTTAATAATTGCTGGATGTCAGACCCCTAAGCTCTTGGCTTTCAGTAACTGTGGGCCCCCAAGCTGTTTATTTGAATAGCCGTGGTATATAATGTGTTCACTGTTTAATGTAGCTAGTTGTTCTAGTTCTTTAAATTGAGTGTTTTAGCTAAATCAACCTAGTTTCTAGTAATTATACAGTACGTCAAGCAGCCTGATTGGGTGCATGTCAAATTTAAAACTTGGAAAAAGGTTGAGAACCATAAACCAAATGAGAAAAATTACAATAAATACATAATAATAATAAAAATCCAGTCTTAAAGCACCCCCACAAACACAACAGTTCATGATTGTGTTAGTGAGAGAAAGACCTGGGGGTCGAGGCAAAGACGGCTGATAAAGTTCAAGTACATTCACGAGAGCGACATGTCACCAAAACAATCAAAGAAAGAAAGCCTTAAATCCATCACGGCTGTAGCATAGTAGTCTGATTTCCTTTGAGCTGCTGAAAATCAAGAAATATCCACATCATGCAAAGGAATCATCAAATATGACAATGTAAACAACAAAATCATCACAGACACAACCCAGTCTTTAACAAACTGCATGTATGATGATGAGCTACAGCTTGGTGGAGATATTACATGGTCAAGTCTGGCATAAAAAATGAAAATATAACACATATTTATTTAACAGAAAAACAAAACTAAAAGGGTCACTTTACTCCGAGTGAATATGAAAGTCTTTTAAAGTATTTTGTCTTTCTGTAAAGGTTTTTTTTTGTGTGCACTTGATGCACATGTATTTTATGTTTATCTATGAAATGGGTTGCATGTGAGGGGTGTTAAATTACAAAAGCTTTGGCAACCGTCACTGATGAGTATTGACTGCTTGCAAACAAAAGCTCTTCAGCAGTAATTTACAGCGAGTTCTCGTTAAAACTGATTTTTATAAACATTGCAAACGTATCGTGACTCACAATATAGCAAAGAAAAAAACATATATACTCTTTTCAGAAATCCAATTCTATAAATAATTAAATTATTTAAAATCTAAGCAGTGGGAAGTAGGGGTGTAGAGGGTGCTGCAGCGCTCCCTGATGTAAGCTAGAGGCCAAGTATGTCCCAATGTACCTTTAAAAACGTAAAACGGGACTAAACTAACTTTCAACACATTCACATTGTTTTTATTCCAGTAATATTTAGATAATGTTGAGGTTAGAAAGTCTGTTATATAAACCAGCTGTTTAACATATTTTCCGGACTATAAGTCGCACTTGTTTTTTTTGTTTTTTTACAGTTTGGCTAGTCCTGCAACGTATAGTCTGAAGTGACTTAGTTACGTATTTTTTCCCTATTCATGATGCAGTTTTTGACTGAAGCGTTAAATGTTCATTCATACTGACATGAACCAACAAGTAAACATTACCATTTGCAGCCACAAGAGGGCCCTCTATGCTTTTGACAACTATATGTTGTTTCTCAACCGCTACCCCACCCCCCCCCCCACCCCCCAAAAAAAAGAAAAAAAAAAAAAAGAAAATCCTATTCTGCAGATTACAAACTGCAGGTAATAAAATATGCAAACAGGTGGGGTCTGTAAATTCTGCCTGGGGAAATTCAACCTGACTGAAAGGACAGCTGCTTGGTGGCAGACAATCCCCCCTCCCCTCCTCGCAGAGGACCTTCCCCCCTGGTCTGGCTGGCTCCCGTCGGGTGCATTTCCTCCACAGCGGTGCACCGCGACTGGCTCTGGGTCGGCCTGGAAGGGTCCAGGGACAATGGTGGCTTGCAGCTCTAGTCACGAGCTCTTCAGCGTCCCCCTGCCCACACTTTACCGCTTCCTGGGGCCCCGGACCACATTCCTCGCTGCGCCCTTCCTCCCCGCTCTGGCAGCAGAGGTACGGGACCTCTCACCCCTGGCATGGCTGCCAACTTGGACAGAATGTTCTCAGTGCGACCCGACCGTGCCACGCCGCTCAGGGCGGGGACCGGCCCACATTTCCCGGGTGCAAGGGGTCAGCGGCGATAAATAGTAAATGCAACTTATACTCCAAAGTGACTTATATATGTTTTTTTTCCTCTTCATGAGGCATTTTTTGACTGATGCGACCTACACTCGGGTGCGACGTATAACCCAGAAAATACGATATATAAAACTGGATCTGAGTGAAAACTTTACTTCGGTGTAAAAAAACTAAAATGCTGGCAGATCAGGAATGTGTCATGATTGCAGTCTATAGATATTGCCTGTCCAAAACAAAAGCACTTGTTTAATGTCTATGGCAAGACAAGATGCATTGTTGGCATTCATTTCACTGGATATATGTACTACTATAATATTTTTCATTTAAGTGTTTAGGGTTTTCCAAATTCACCCACAACACCCTACCCCATCTGAAACACATTCCCACAGCTGTGTCTCTAAATGTTATTACAGAATCCCTATATATATTTACACTAATTATCATTCTTCAAATACATTCTTATGAAGCGCACATAAAATAAATAACTTCTAACAGTCTAATAAACACATTGGCTGCACTTTGGTTGCACACAAAGTTTCATAAATCAGTTATTTTCTCCAGCCTAGGTACACACACTCAGTTCTCACCATCGTTTGCACGTGCACAAACTCACACAGGAGATGTACCTTCAGCCAGAACAACGACTTATCTTAAAAAGAACAGAAGATTGCATAGACACGCCTGTTAATGAGGCAAACAAATAATTAAGATTTAGTAAGAAAAAAAAAAAGTTATTTCATGGTCTTGAAGAACAGAGTCGAGAAGGAATGCATCACATCACGGTAGGGGGTGGGGAAAACAAGAAATAGCTTCAGATGTACAGCAATGCACGAGCTGCATTCAAAACAAAACACAACAGAAGTACCACAGAACCCCCCCCCCCCTTCCCCCCACCAGCAACCAAATGTTGTGACATGAATAAAAGAGGTCAGTCTGTTTGATAAAGCAGAGCCGAGGAAGGTCAGACCCAACGAGGCCGTCGGTCTTCTGCTCCGAGCTGAACGGACGTTCTCAGTGTAGCTCCCACCAAACTCTGCTTGGCTTATGTGGATGGAAAATAACAGTCGCTGGGGTCACAGGTCCCAGGTGGTCCGCGGGGCCCCGGGGAGCCAGGAAGACCCCTAGAGGTGATCCCAGGTGGACCTTGAGAGAAAGGAGTTTTATATATTAGTTACTGCAAAGGGCTGGATCATGAGTAGCTTTGTATTAGTGGTTAAACCACACATAGGCAACGTATGGCCCGAGGGCCAAAAGTGATCCTTGAACAAGCTCCATTTGGGCCCCAGCATCCCTAATTATAAAAGAAACAAACTTTAAAATAAGTTGATGAAATCCTGCATTTTACTAATGAAATTTAAGGAAAACTAAATGAAACATCTCAACCAAACATATCTAAAACATTTGTATTAAAATGGGCAAAAATATATATTTTTTAAATTTTTCAAGGTTCAACGTTCAGTGTTCTTTATTGTCATTCGCATCACACATGGTACATGAGGTGGAATGAATTTGTCTACTCAAGGTCCCAGTTATACCCCAAAATAGCAAAAATATAAAGTATAAAATGAAACAGTATAAGGAAACTAAGATTTACGCTAAACCAATGCCAAATGTTACGTTAAAAGATCTGATATACGCTAAACACCAATCATGTGAAATAATAAGGTACATTAAACAGCATCCAAACATGAGTCTGTAGTGAGTAAATAGGTATGAATACAGCAGCCTAAAGGCAAGAGATCAGCAGCATAAATAATCAGCAGCACAGATAAGTCACATATTAATTAAAGTGGCATCACAGTGAATTTCTTTTTACTTACAGTGATTATCCTGGTTAGGAATTTATGAGTCTAACAGCTTCACGGTAGAAGCTGTTCCTCAGTCCCCTCGCTACTTCGCGGTTCGTTTATTGCGGACTCACTCTATTATGGATTTTGTAAATAAAATTGGACATGACACACAATTGGCTGATTGATGGATGAGCTGCACGATCAGCAAGGAATTTTTAAAATTAATTATTTTAAATTATTTAGCACCTGCTGCACCTTTGTGCAGCCCATGCTGCAGGATAAACTTCCTGCCGCAGCTGATCAGCTGTTCCCCGTGCAAAGCATAGAAGTGGGCGTGGCCAAGAGCGCTTGCAGGTGGCTGAAAGCAGAGGAGGCCGGGAGCTGAAATCATGACATTCTGTGCTCTTTTAGAGCGTTTAGAGTATAGAAACATTATTTAGAATATTGCAAGAGTGAGGGAAGGGTTTAAAACTCCCTAATATATATTATTTATACTAAAATAAACTACTACTTAATACTTGCACTACTATTCCTACTTCGCGGTTTTTCCACTTATCGCGGGGCTTCAAGGTACGGATCCCCAGCGATAAATGAGGGACTACTGTAGCTATCTAGTATTTATCATTTGTTTATTAAATCATTGTGTTTCCACAACTAGACTGAACCTTAAAGACTTAAAAAAAACAAACAGCAAACTTTTTTGTGCATATTTTAAGCTAACAAAAATGTTGCACAAGAGTCAGTTTACAAAAAAAAAGGTGTCCTATATTCTTACAAAGCAATCTGCTGGCTTCCTTCTTTAGATAAATAACTTTACTAATTGGCATTTAAAATGTATGTGAATGTTTCTGTTCAGTGCCCTGAGATAACTTATATTGTGACTTGGTTCTATATAAATAAACTGAATTGAATTGGATTGGTAATGGAGAAACCTACTGTATTTACCAAGCATGCTAACTATGCTACAATAAAAAGCCTGGGAATGGCTTCAAGATCTGTCTGTCTTAAAAAAAAAAAAAAAATCCAATTAACTTTGCAGCCCTGTAGCTGATCTGGCCCTCTGAAAACAAAATGTTGCCCACTACTGGGTTAAATTGTGCACAGTGTAACAAGCTCACTAATCATACAGATTAAAAATGCTGACGTAGAACGGTCGACGTAAATCTCCGTGTACGAAGCTTTTCTAGGGATGTGACATAGAGGTAAACAGTTTTATGATTGGTTTAAACCCGTAAGGCACAGATCAGCAACATCAACAGAACCTGTGAGAGTCCGAGTGATTAACAGTCATCATTTTGTCACAAGACCAATGCTGAAATCCTTGGGCCTTGGCATCCGTTTTGATGTCACTTTGACACAGCTCAATAGCAACTGCGTTCTTTGACAGATATGGCCTTCCTCAGCAGGAAAATGTGCCCGACCAACACAGAAAAACTGATCAAGAACTCCTCCAGGAGGACAAAAAAAGAAACTAATGCATCAGCTTGTCCTTCACACTCCCCAGATTCAAGTCTGATTGTGTATGTGTGTGTATATGTGTTTATGTTGTGGCACTTCTGTGCACAAGTTACGTATATTTCTGCTTTAGACTGATAAATCAAATATAAATCAAATAGTGATAAGTTCCTGTTTTTTGTGCCTGACAAAGTATCAAAACATCACATTTAATGGTCACATTAAGAGCATTTATAGCACAGCAACAGGTCTGCATTGGTTTTTGTCAGGAACTCAACAGATGGTTAAATCACTTAGAGAGGTCAAGGTCCAGAGCTTCAGATCTTTTTGCAAGATATTCCAGGAAACAGGAGCGGAGTAGGAGAAGACCCTTTTGCCTAGTTCAGTCTGCACTGAGGGGACACTGCAGGTAATAATGTCCTGAGAGCGCAC